GAGCATTCCTTCATTCTTTCTTTTCCTTTGCAAGTTCATCTCTTAACCCATTCCTCTCTTCTTCTAGTTCAACAACTCAAGCTTGAAGCCTTGCAATCTCAGTATCTTTTGTCCCTACCTCCTGAACCAAAGCTCTGACCTTGCTATTTACTGGAGTCTTCACTGATGAACCAGGTTCAACAGGGCCTACACTGAGGATATAATCACAGGCCTGAAGAGTCTTGATGCCAAAATGCTCTTTGCTGGAAGCCATCTCCCATTTCTTCAAGGGAACGTTCAGCTTGTCCAGCACAGCTGTCAGAATAAATCCATAAGGGATGGAATGAGCCTTTGAACCATTGAGAACCCTGTCTAGCAGCTTAGCAATGAAAGCATGCCAGTTGATCTGCTTTCCTTCCACCAAGCACTGCATGAGGACCAGATCCATGCAGTTTGCTGTGTGCCTCCTTTCCTGTCTAGGCAGCAGGCATTTGTTTACAAATTCAAAGAGCACTTTATGCTCTGGCCTCATCTCACTCTTTTGAACAGCCCTTGCTTCAGGTACCTCCTCAGCATCTGTAGTGTCACAGAAGTTCCTAGTGATTAGAAGTTCAGTAGGCAGACCATCCAGGCAAGGCCACTTTTGCCTTGTGTAACCATCATAGCCCTCACTTGGAATGTTCAGGATTCTACCCAACTTAGGTGCATCAAATTTCACCTTCATCCCCTTCACTATACTGGTTACCAGCCCATTCTGCACAGTCCCATTAGCCATAAATTCAACAAGTTCTTTTCTGGCCAATCTTCCATCCATCTGAAGGACCATGTCCTTCCATCCTTGTGCCTCCAGTGAAGTCAACAATCTTACCATGCCTCGCTCCTCCAAGTCTTTGAGCAATCTACCTTTCAGAATTTTTCGTTTGCCAAAATTGACAAACCTATCTTGTTCCTGTTCTGACTCTTCTTCTCCTTCTTCTTCACTCCACTCTTCATCCTCTTCTTCCTCAACTTGCACTTGTTTTCCCTTTGTAGCTGACCTAGTTCTTTTAGCTAGAGAGGATTCAACAGGTACAGACTTGGAGGGCTTCTTTGCAGAAGACCTGGTTCTCTTTGATTTGGCAGTGGGAACTTCTACTGTTGTACTTCTCTCTTGATGGACCAGTTCCATCTCTTCCTCTTCCTCTTCTACCGCAGCCTCAGAACTTTCAACCATTTTTGCTTTTCCCTTTTCTTTCTTCTTTTTCTTACTCTCCTCTAGTGCCTTTTGCAGTTCTGCTTCACTTTGCCTCACCCTACTTCTTGTGGCTCTACCCCTAGGTGCAACAGACTTGGGTGGTGAAACTTTGCTCTTCTTAGTTGGTTTGGACGCAACAGGGGTCCTTTGTGAGGAGGCCTTGCGTTTCTTTGGATCATAACTGGCTTCAACTTTCTTTAGCATATCTGCCAAAGTCTCCTCCACAGATGAACCAGGTTCATCTGGTTGTTCACTCAAATTTATCAAACCCTCAGCAGCTTCACCTGACCCATTTCCCCCTGACTTCATGCCTTCCTCTTCTCCACTACCACATATAGCTAAAAATTTCCTTTTCTTTTTCTTTCTTATTTTACTAGATTTAGCCCCTTCAACATTTTTAGCAGTCCCTACCAGAACAAACCTATTATCCTCCCAATCTAATACATCAGAAAATAATAAGCAAGTGTTTACCTCTCCTGGGGTTTCTTGAATCTTGTCAGTGTCAGAAGACCCAGGTTCTTCTCCTTCACTTGCAGAGATAAATTTCTCAGATTCAGAGCTTGAGTCGCTTTCTTTGGTTGTAACTTCCTTCCTTTGACTAGCCTGTAGTTTTTCGTTCAAGACTTTCCTCAAAGAACCAGATGCAATTTTTTTTCTAGCTAACATTTTCTGGCGACGAAATCTGGGTTTTGGGGGTTCACTAGGAGGAGTTGAAGATAAGGTGTTGGGGGAGACTGGTGGGGCAGTTCCGGGGTTGTCTTGGGGATTAGTCATGGCGGAGAATTTCTGGGGATTTTGGGGATTTTTCGAGAAGAAGGAAGATGATCAGAAATTTTAGAATTAGAGTGACGGTTTTGAGTGATTTGGTGGGTTTTTAAAAAGAGGTCATGATTAGGGCAGTAATGGCAGCCTTTTCAGAGGTCAAGTAGGAGTCTAATCAAGTTAGAGTTCCGGTCTCCTAAGTGATTAATGAAAATCGCTAGATTTTAGGGAAAAGATCCGTTATAGTTAGACTCCTAGTTTAATGAAACTGGTTCAATTGCTCAACGGATAGAATTTTCTGGACGTTTGGTGTAACAAGGACTTCTGCTCATGATTGATAATTTTATCTTTCTAATTGTGCAAAGTATAGAAACATACCTGAACTTTCTCATGAGCATATATTGATGAACCAGATTCTTCAAGTAGAACTTCTCTTGATTATGCCTCAAAAGTCAGAATAGAAAATTTTGTAAGAGATCAGTGAGTTAAACACATGTCACATGAGTATACTAGTTAAAGTATGAGACTGAGTAAGAATTAGTCTAGATATTTACATGAATTAAGAACTCCTAACCAAAAAAAAAATTCATTTTTTTTCATTTTTTTCATATTTTTTCATTGTGCATTCTGAACTGGACCTTTTAGGTGATGTTAATCATCCCTAATTCCAACCTGTTCCTTTCAATGTTTTCTCTACTTAATGCCTTAGTGAAGATGTCAACTATTTGCTTATCAGTAGCACAAAATTCTATGGAGATTAACCCTTTCTCATAGTTATCTCTTAAGAAGTGGTGCCTAACATCTATGTGCTTAGTCCTTTTATGATGAACAAGATTCTTTGTCATACTTATAGCACTAGTATTATCACAGAATATTGGTATGCACCCCACTTCAATTCCAAAATCTACCAGTTGTTGGTTAATCCACAGCAATTGAGCACAACATGAAGCAGCAGCAACATATTCAGCTTCAGCAGTAGAGAGAGCTACTGAATTCTGCTTTTTGGTAGCCCATGATAGAAGACAAGAACCCAGGAAGTGTGCCATACCTGAGGTGCTCTTCCTATCCACTAGAAAACCTGCATAATCAGCATATCCAATTAAGTCAAAATTACTACCTTTGGGATACCAAAGACATAAATCAGTGGTGCCTTTCAAATATCTCAATATCCTTTTGACAGCTGTCAAGTGTGACTCCTTTGGATTTGCCTGGAAACGAGCACAAAGCCCTACACTGAAAACAATGTCAGGTCTGCTGGCAGTAAGATACAAAAGTGAACCAATCATACCCCTATACTGCTTCTGATCAACTGATGAACCAGGTTCATCAATATCTAACTTAGTGGCAGTAGCAATAAGTGTATCTATTTCTTTGGATTCTTCCATTTTAAACTTTTTGATTAGCTCTTTTGTGTACTTCTGCTGATGGATCATAGTTCCATTTGAACTTTGTTTGATCTGCAAGCCTAAGAAGAAGTTGAGTTCACCCATCATACTCATTTCAAACTCACTTCCCATTAGTTTTGCAAAGTCTTTACTCAACCTTTCTGTAGTGGCGCCAAATATTATGTCATCAACATATATTTGTACAACAAGAAGATCTTTACCTTTTTCCCTTAGGAACAAAGTGCTGTCAATTTTACCTCTTTTGTACCCATGCTCCAGTAGAAATTTTGACAATCTTTCATACCAAGCTCTTGGGGCCTGCTGGAGACCGTATAGAGCCTTATCTAGCTTGTACACATGTTCAGGACACTCCTTGCTTTCAAATCCTGGAGGTTGTTTCACAAACACTTCTTCCTTGAGGTAGCCATTTAGGAAGGCACTTTTGACATCCATCTGATGAAGAGTGAATTCCATATGTGCTGCAAAGGCTATGAGGAGTCTAATTGCTTCAAGTCTAGAAACTGGAGCAAAGGTCTCATCATAGTCAATACCTTCCTCTTGACTGTAGCCTTGAACCACCAGCCTTGCGTTGTTTCTTGTAACCGTT